TATATTTGTAGGCCAACATGTTTTATGGCGCATTTAGACATTTCCTGTTTTTTCTTGTCGGGTATGCACGTGAGTTGTGCCGCATGTGCGCTTGTAAATCATGTTCTCAATGTCATTTTCTTTTGGTACAATTGGTCACCATACACATCACTCGCTACACTCGCCCAAGCAAGTCGGATATCAATCACTGTCCAGAAGTGCATGATGCATTCACCACGATAGAACACTGGCACACCAAGAACATGAACTCACGCAAAAACGAGGGCTATCACACGACTTCGCATTGGACACACCGCTATCACACAACTACATCATCACAAGAAGCCCGAGACCGAAATGCAACACCTGCAAACACTTTCATCACTGTCAAACATCTGCTACTCACATGCCCACAATACCAACACCACAGGGACACACATACAAACATACTGCAGAGACGCCAACATCCCACTAACACTCACACACTGCTCGGGATTACACCCCGAGCTAAAACACTATCCACTAAAGACACAACACTGGGCTGATCAATGACCTGTAAATCTCCTCCCCTAGAGCCAAGGACAAAAAAGCCAAAAAAGCCAAAAAAAGAAGCAAAAAAGAAAAAAGCAATATTCAAAACAATGAGAATCAAAATAAAAGACCCCAGAATGGCAAAATGGCAAAAAAAAAAACAAAAACAAAAAAAAATTATAGAAGGGGCAATCCGGCTACCCGGGAGGAGATAGCTAGGAACCCAGTCCCACCCCTCAGCCCACCCTTACGAGCCAAGAAGACAACGGACACTTCAAGGCAACGGACGGACCAACAACGAAGACGGACGACAGAACCGGGCCCAAATACAGGACGCTGTGGTGGCCCGTAAGCTACAAATACCATACCATACCATACCAGTGCATCATGCATCAGAATAAGCTTCATTGAACACACTCGTCATCATGAACGGCATCTAGGAGTTTCATGAGTTTGGATCTGTGACCAGTAAGTGGAATGGGAGCATAATGGTACACGCTACCAAACCAGATATGCCTACACAACGTTAATATTTTTTTTTTTTTGTAATGCAACAAGGGAACGAAAAGCGTGTTCAAAACTTTAACTCCTTGTCCTTATGTGCCTGCAGGCTGATTTCGCAGTATCCAATGGCAACCGTGTATGACCAGGCGCCGCTTGGACGCCTTGTCCAGTCACGTCTTCTGGGACTGTGTGATGACTGCCTCTGCATTCTCAAGTGCCAGTTTCTGCCTCCGGCCCATTTCATTATCAAAGGATGCTGTTAGCTTAACGAACAGCTCTGCTCCAAGATTCCAAACGGTTTTACGGTACTGTATGCCTACAAAACGTTAATATTTTTTGGAGGCGGTAATACTCGGATGAACTGACCTTTATGGGTGGGTATTCAACGTTGAATAAAGTAGGCTTGTAGCCCTCTGCCTATTGACTTCTAAGGGTTTTAGTAATATTTATCGAATATCTCATCTGATATGCATTTTCACTCACAGTCGTCGAAATCGAAAAATCATAAGCTTAGAAATCCGCGGACTTGACATATTATATTTTATCGACGATTCGTTTCGACTTGCTGTCATGTCAGCTAATCATCCGTTGCTTCTCCTATTTTCACAGGTGCATTACCTGTCATCTTTACCGTCGATACCGTTGAAGATTTTACCGTCGATCACGGAGCACCCATTGCGCTGGCCGTTGCTGGCACTTTTTTATTTGTCACTAGCTATTAGTTATCTGCAGATATACATTAGCCACCTGTACACCCGCTTACACTAGCTCTCATCATCTAGTTCTACGTATGTGTGTGTTTGTTTTAATTGTATTGCCGATGAATTCGGTAGACATGCTCCGCCCGCAAACATGTACCACATGATGCAGTTCACTGAATGTAGCAGTTAATCACTCGTAAAAAGCGGTCATGTTTTCGTATAGTGTAGGTATGCATCTATGTAAGCATGTGTTCACACTCATGAGCGATCCACACATGATATTGCATTTCCTGTTCAGTTATATTTTTAGCACTGGAACACGATGCTCATACACTGTGTTGTTATCTTTCTTTTTTCGCCTGCTCCTTCCTCCAACTTGTGTCTTTGAGTATTTCAGTCACATGCTCAAACGTTCTTAAATGCTCTCGCCATCGGTTTACGGATGCGTTGAAAACGGACATGTGATGACCAAATTTAACAATATGCGGACAATGGATCGACTTCTTGAAGCCTGTGGACGTGATACACCTTCTCCATCACCATCAAGAGATCAACATTTTCGAAGACACTTGCGTACGGCTGGTATGTATTCATATTTGAATGTCCATTGTCAACACGTTGCAGAATGCTTTACATTTTGTGTGATCATTTACTGTCCTCATTCCTACACAATGCCAACATGTTTGTCATCGTCTTCATGTACCTATCAATTGGGATTGATGTTTGCGTTTACTGACAGACACTTGTCAACATTTTCAGCAGTGTCCGGCGCAATGCTGAATGCGACCTGTTATCTGTTGGATCTACTCTGTGAGCCCGAACCCCAGTGCAAGTGAGTTGTTTGTTACACCAGTGCCGGAGCACTCTGTAATATGTGCAAGAGCCTGTGACTTTGTTTGCTTGGCTAACTAAACGCATACCTACGGAAAATCATTCCAACGTTGCTTTGGTTTTCAGTTGAGATGTCAATCGGATACCAACTTTTTGGTATACCGATACCAAACCGATACCAACTCGGTATTTGGTATTTCAATCCTAATGTGTTTGGTATTTTGTTGGTATCATGAACCCTCGCTAATGTCTAAGAGGCTAAGAAATCGGTAAAAAGTTGGTTTTTTCCTCATGTTCCCAAGTTGGTTTGGTTTCGGTATATTTCTCCACGGTTTTGGTTGGTATTTGGTTTGGTATCGGTATTCCGATTTTCCGTAATTGACATCACTAGTTTTCAGTGTTTTACTGTATTTTTAAAGCAGTGCCTACACATATCAATCAAATATATCCCGCGCACCGACGGGGGGCGGATTTCCGCCCCCCCCCCTGAGGTTTTCCCACTATCTACGGTTTTCTGGTTTTCAGGAAAACCGTGCGCAGGATATTCTAAATGCCTTAATATGGTCCATTCCATAACCATCTAACCGAATTCCCGAATTCCCGATATTCGAACAGAATTTCGCAAACCTTCTCCCTTTCTGGCAGTGGCACTGTTCGACTATAGCGCTGGACGTCGTCTACTTTTTGCTAGAGGGAAAGGTCATCATCCGTCCATGAACTTCGGGCTGCTCACAGCTATATTGCCTTGGCAAGTTCTTTGAGCACTCAATACTGGACTTGGGCTGCGAAAGCTAATGACAATTTGGGGAGCTTGATATTGCAATGGCTATGACGTGAAGGCTCAATATGACGAACAGCTGGACTATTCACCATTGTCAACGCTTATGATAGCTAAATATCATTGTGCTTGGTGTACATTCACGTCTCGTTTCCTTGCTCCATTTGTACCTCACCGGTCGTCCGTCCCCACAGGCCTCGGCTGCAGCACAAGCCACATTCATCGGCCCAATCATCAGTTATTCATCCTGCAAGTTTTAAGTCACTTCGTTGTGACCCGGACATCGTCATCTTTCAACGAGTTCAAATGATTATTTCATTCATCATCGTCGATCAGACTCATCATGTAAAGACACTTCCATAATGCTAGCCGCCATCTACGTTTGTGCAGGAAGCAAATATCAGGTTGTTATTAGCTGCGGGCTACTCAGTACCGACTGAACTACTGGCAGTAGTGTGCGAGCACCTAATACTTGTATTGTGATACCAAAGCTAAAACGGATGATAGCTTAGCGCATAGGGCCCTACCGCTTTCCACACACACACAAACAAAACTTGACTTTGGGCATTAGCACCATGGCAGGATAAACAGGCAGTTTCGCTGTTTTTCACTGCTTTCATTGGCAGGTGTTACTGCTCATTCCCGTTCTATGTGATGTTAGAACAGCCCTTCACCATAGTCCTGTTTTCTCCTTTGCCGTTTTCCATAGACATCAGATGCGACATGCACTCCAACGATCGGTCAGGCGCATCACCGTCAATCCGGTCGCCTGTTAAGCAGTTCGTAATCACCGTCAGTCTTCGACATCTGTCAACACACTTATCCACATTATCGCCTTACTTTTGATCTTATCAATATGCAAGAATGAGTGCAAAATGCATTCCAATATTGCATCAGTTGATGTTGTATCGCAATGACACCGCGTCCTCACCTCACATCTGTTGTGCATACTTGATCACGAATGCCAGTTATACGCAGATTCACATGGTGAAGTTTTACTCCGTTGACGTTTTCTTTCCATTCTTGTAGTCGATCAAGAGGGATTACAGTTGCACATGCGGCCTTACACATGCGTCCTTACATGTTAGCTGATTGATATGTTGGACACACTGGTTCCTGTGACTCCAAGTAGTTCTGCATTGGTATTGCTTCACTTTATATGTTCTACCCAAAGATCGTTTCTAGTTTTGTCTTAGCTTGCAGCTGTATGCCATGAACATACAGGGTACTGCGCATCTTTACCGTGACATTCCTGTAGTTTCGTCACTTTCGCGGATGATTAGGACCATGAGCTCAGTTGCAGATGCGTCCAGCAGCCACCGACATTTCTACACTTTAAATTCCTAGTCTCGGATCTTATCCACATACCAACATGATTTGAACATTTCACACGTTTAGTGATGAAATGAGCAGGTATCATCTACTACATTATATTTTCATGTAAAGCACACTCCAGTCTGTGAAAAAAGAAAACCATTAGGAGCAACAATCATGCCTTAGACAGTATAGTTGCCATAGATATTACGTTGTGCAGCGGGCAGGCCGGTGCACGAAATGGCGAGTGTGAATGCAGGAATGCGTGTGAAAAACTGCCTAGGTGTGGAGTGGCTGGTTTGTCTTCCGTTACATCGTAACGGGCTCTTGACGTAGTCTTTTTTTAGTAACACCAATCATCTTTCGAACTTGAATTAACGTAATTGAAAGATGGCTATCACATTTGGAGCCAACTTATTTGCTAATTGCGTCAAGGGCGGGCAGCGCGGTGCGTGGATGCCTTTTGGTAAAGCTCACGTCCTAATATACTATCCTGCCCTTACCAAGCGTGCATCCATGTTTCCTCCATCCGGCTCCTCGTGCCGCTGCCTGGAATATTAGCCTACGGCTAATATACCAAGAGATGGAAAACTTTTCGTTGGTATGGAATATGGATGCCTCGTGGTTCAACTGGTGATGTTCCAAACAACTGTACCGTGTGTCAGGTAGGTCTTACTTACTCACTTTCCGCTTCATTTTTTTTTCTCGGCCGCGTAGGAAATATGATTTGACGGTAATCGTGGCGCTTTTGTTTCAGTGGCTGAATGACAGCGACATCTATAACTCAGGCTGCACTCAGAGCCCGAGTCTGAGTTTGGCTAAAAAAAATCGCCCATAAAAAATTCGCCCATCGCCCGCCCGCCGCGATGCGGGTGATTTTGTTTTTGCGTCGTTTTCGGTAAAAGGTTTATTTTCGGTTGGCGGCGGCCGGGCGCATTTTTGCGGTTTTTGCGTTTGACGGCGGGCGGCCGTTTTTTTGCGGCGTTTTGCGGTTGGCGGCGTAGAGTGCAGTGCACGTCAGTTCGTAGAACACGCACTCCGATCTGCACGTGCAAGGCTCATCCTCTCGTTTGGCGGCGGGCGTTTTTGCGGCGTTAAAGGTGCTTGCTCAAACAACCTGCGGTCCCGCGATGCGGAGCCCAGCATCGCAGATGCTGGTAACCGCAGGTTGTTTGAAAAGACAAACACTATTCGTTAGAATTGTGTTTTTCTATTGAAAAACAACCGGAGCGGTCCGTCTCCGGGCTATGTTTTGCAAGTCTGGCCGCGAATCGAGACAAGTTGAGCCTCTCCTAAACGAATCCCTCAATCTTCGTAAAAATTTCAGGGTATGGGCTCCCGCAGGCGATCTACCTGATGGCACCGGTCGCTACTCGCTTAAAACCTCGTGGCACGTGGCACGTGCGATTCCATTTTCCCCATGTTAAGTCAATGGGGTTTTGGACACTTTTTGCGCGATCGCCAATGGCGGGAAAACGAGCCAAGGAAGAGGTGGTTTTCTTCCCAGCATTTTATGGCAAACACGTTTGGGTACACGCTAGTGTGCGCCGTATACCCCTCAGAACTTCGTAACGTGTCTTTGCACGAGGTCAAAGTTGAACTTTTTTCGCTCCCCATGTTAAGTGAATGGGTAATAACCGCAGGTTGTTTGAAAAGACAAACACTATTCGTTAGAATTGTGTTTTTCTATTGAAAAACAACCGGAGCGGTCCGTCTCCGGGCTATGTTTTGCAAGTCTGGCAGCGAATCGAGACATCTTGACCGGGGCCTAAACGTGCATTGCGATTTTCGTAAAAAGTTCAGTGTATGGGCTCCCGGAGGCGATCTACCTGATGGCACCGGTCGCTACTCGCTTAAAACCTCGTGGCACGTGGCACGTGCGATTCCATTTTTCCCATAGTAAGTCAATGGGGGTTTGGGACACTTTTTGCGCAATCGCGAATAGCGGAAAAAATCGCCGATCAAGGTATGGTTTGCTGCACACCATTTTATGACTGACACATTCAGGTACACGCCCATGTGCGCCGTCTACCCGTAAGAAGTCGATATTTTTTGTAGTACGACTTTGAAATTCGAGTTTTTTTGCTCCCCATGTTAAGTCTATGGACGTTTTTGCAGAGACATTTTCATTCGTTCATTGTACAAAATTATATGATACGATTTTGTTTAAACTTCCAGGACTTGTTGAGAAAAGACCATAGAACATGTTGTTATGCTTCTTTAAGCTGTGCAAATTCGTTTGTTCTTTTTAAGCTCGTTTAAAAATGAAAAATCTTAACATGGAAAGTCAATGGGAGCGTCTTTGTTGCTTAATAACTTTTTACAGTTGAGATATATTTAAGTAAAATGTTGATAGGTTATACAACTTTTGATGCTCTTTCCAATGATATATAGAACGTTATTGCACGTTGTGCCGTTTTTGAGGAATTTGGTAAAAAAACACGACTTTACCGAGATTTGAGCTCAGACCTATATATGGTCTTGGCTCAGACAGTATACGAACAGGTGACAGGGATACCTCCCATTGAAGGATGCGATTTAATACTAAACATTAGCAGCCGGCCGCCTTGGGGACGTTTTTGTACGACTATATCTCCGCAGCCACTGGACCAATACACTTGCGGTTTTTTGTATGGGGTAGCGTATACCCTTCTTAGAAGTATTTTACTATGGACGATGCATGCGGGTAACCCCTACTGCACGTGACACGTGTAATACGGAGAGGTGTCAGTTTTGTAATAAGTGCAATAACTCGGTAATTACTGGGCCGATCGCGCTGAAACTTGGCATGGAGGTAGTCACCTAACAGGCGATCCATTTTCATGTGCCACGGTAGGGGTGCCGCTGCACGTGCGCACGTGCAGGGTGACGCTTCCAGATCTCGTGACCGGCCGGGCCGATTGAGTTCAAATTTTGCACACCGCCAGAGACCGCGTAGTAGGGTGCATTGCACAGATCAGTTGGGTCCCAGGTTGCACGTGCGCACGTGCAGGGTGACGCTTCCAGATCTCAGGAACGGCCGGGCCGATTGCATTCAAATTTGGCACAGTTTTAGACACCGATCAGTAGGGTGCCGTGCGCAAGTCAGTTAGTATGTATTTTCATGTGTCACGGTTGGGATGCAGCTGCACGTGCGCACGTGCAGGGTGTCGCTTCCAGATCTCGAAAACGGCCGGGTCGATTGCACTCAAATTTGGCACACCGCTAGAGACCGGTTAGCAGAGTGCAGTGCACGTCATTTCGTAGCACACCCACTCCGATCTGCACGTGCAAGGCTCATCCTCTCGTTTGGTGGGTGGCGTTTTTGCGGCGTTACAGAGGTGCTTGCTCAAACAACCTGCGGTCTAACCGCAGGTTGTTTGAAAAGACAAACACTATTCGTTAGAATTGTGTTTTTCTATTGAAAAACAACCGGAGCGGTCCGTCTCCGGGCTATGTTTTGCAAGTCTGGCCGCGAATCGAGACAAGTTGAGCCTCTCCTAAACGAATCCCTCAATCTTCGTAAAAATTTCAGGGTATGGGCTCCCGCAGGCGATCTACCTGATGGCACCGGTCGCTACTCGCTTAAAACCTCGTGGCACGTGGCACGTGCGATTCCATTTTCCCCATGTTAAGTCAATGGGGTTTTGGACACTTTTTGCGCGATCGCCAATGGCGGGAAAACGAGCCAAGGAAGAGGTGGTTTTCTTCCCAGCATTTTATGGCAAACACGTTTGGGTACACGCTAGTGTGCGCCGTATACCCCTCAGAACTTCGTAACGTGTCTTTGCACGAGGTCAAAGTTGAACTTTTTTCGCTCCCCATGTTAAGTCAATGGGCGTTTTTGCAGAGACTTTTTCATTCGCTCATTGTACAAAATTATATGATACGATTTTGTTTAAACTTTCAGGACTTGTTGAGAAAAGACCATAGAACATGTTGTTATGCTTTTTTAAGCTGTGCAAATTCGTTTGTTGTCTTTAGCCTTCTTTAAAAAAGAAAAATTTTAACATGGAAAGTCAATGGGAGCGTCTTTGTTGCTTAATAACTTTTTACAGTTGAGATATATTTAAGTGAAAAGTTGATAGGTTATACAACTTTTGATGCTCTTTCCAGTGATATATAGAACGTCATTGCACGTTGTGCCGTTTTTGAGGAATTTAGTAAAAAAGCACGACTTTACCGAGATTTGAGCTCACACCTATTATGGCCTTGGCTCAGAGAGTATACGAACAGGTGACAGGGATACCTCCCAT